ATACATACATTTTATTTCTCTCCATTTGCTTCCTCTTCATTTCATCACATTGCGATGTCTAAATTTTTTACAAGCACAAAAACGTATTTTACTGTATTTTTATATTGCTAAATATCTTAACCAATCATAAAATTTAATAAGCGAAATTGTTTACTAAATTATTTTAACTGTAATTTTATTTACATTTTGACGTATTAAATATAACTTCTCATTTTTAATTAGAAATTAACAGGAAATTTTTTTAATTTTAAATTATTTCTTGTATCTCTAAATTGTTTGTACATTCACATGTAACCATTATGGAGTAGTATTCTTTTAGTATTTCCCTTAAGAAGCAATTGAAAAAATAGCCATATAATAGCCATATGAAGTAAACAAGCGACATTCCTAAAGATTTTAAGTGTTCCACTTAAAATCAGTCTAAAAGCAAAGAAAAGTGTAAAAGAGACCTAGTAGCAAGTTTCCTTGTTTATTTACATCACGCCTGGCGGGAATACCGAGCCCGTTCCCCAGCGCGTTCCGGAAAATCAATAATTCGCAGTGCAGAGAAAGTTTTGTCATAGCATTCAACCATCTTTATATCATTTCAGTCGTATAAATCCCGTCCATCAGCCAAAATTTTTGAAACCATCGGCAGAATTTGAAACAACAATTTTTTTCTGTCAAACTTTTATATCATATAGATCAGTTCCATTATAGTAGCTGGATTCACGATTAATCAAATTAAAATGAGGACCAACACTTTGACTAGCAACTCGAGGGCAGATGGTAGCTCGACTCCCATACGCCAGCTACCACCACCTGTCCAGTCGAGACTGATGGAATTTTTTATTGAAGCCTTTTATAAATTTACGAAACTTTTTCGTAATGACTCTTTATGATAAACCGAAATTTTGTGTTGATAATCTTGACGTTTAAATTACTTTATGGCAGCTTTAATCTAAAGCTACCGATCACTTTTGTTCTCCCCGTCGGAAATTTTGATTACTTTTACTTACTCTAAAAAGATAATTTGGATAAAAAAGCATTTCAGATATGATATTGACTGATAGACAGCAATCTATGTAATAGAAAAGATTGAACACTTACGTATGGAGTATAATATAAAAATATAATTCTCAAAAGATTTTTTCTTCCAAATATTTTCAAAAATATCATTATACTTTAATTTATTGTATGTATACGTTTGCATGTGCGTGCGCGCGCGCGCGCATGTGCCCACGGATGTCAAAACATATTGATATTATAATATATAAAAGATTATTTCTTATACTGTATTTGGCAAAATTAAGAAACAAAGTCATTCATTAGAAACAGAATCATTCATTAATTGTTGCTGATTAATATAAAAGAAAGATTGTATTTTTCTTATAACATTAAAAAATTTGGTGGGAGGTTCCAGATATTTAATTTTATAACTTTTACCTTATATCTTTACCTTATATCTTTTCGAATATCACATGCATATATGCAAGTATTTTTACGACTCTCTTTACTATAAATTTACCGTATATATTGATATTAATTAACAGAAAATAATCAAACAACTAGTAAAATTTATTTCGTAAGATATATACTGTACATTATATAAGATTTATATAATTTTAAAGTTACAATTTTATATCAATAATTAGCAGATTAAATCGTAATTAACCGATTTTAAGTTTCATTATTATTTTCTTTTACTATTTATTAATTATTTTATATTTATCCTATATTGTGAAACAATAATCTTGCTCTTATATTAAGATATAGGATAAATATAAAATAATTAATTAAATATAAAATAATTACTTCTCTTTTAACGAATAATGTTAAATAATCATAAGCGCATCACGCTATCACAACAGTTTTTACATGGAAAAAGACTTTGTGCTTTAATACTTTTACTCTCGGTTAACTGTATGATTAATGAATTGTACAGTTTATCTGAACTTGATATAATAAGATATAGGGATCCACTTTCTAGTGATTAAACTTTACAAGAGCATTATTAATAAATCATGCTATACTGGATAAAAATACTTGATATGCCGTAAATAATTAAATTAACTCTATCTTGAATTTATCGAAGATTTTCTATCCTTTTATCGATTAATAAAATGGTTACATACATTGAAATTTACAATATATGACAAGATTTTACAAATTAAATAAAAAAAATTTTATTTAAATACATATTTCTATTCAAAATTCTATTCAAAAATATTTTTATGACTTTTAGGCGCCATATTTCGTCGGCGTATGGTGTATCCTTGCTATTGTTAATTAATTACTTTTTCTTTTATCAAATAATAATGACTTGAAAAATTGACTCATTAACATGACGATAAATATTATATTATACTTATCTACACGACATGAATTATTTATTTTTTGATATTTAATAAAATATTTCGGAAATATTTTGTAAAACATTTTAAAATATTGCATTAAAACGTTTCATAAAAATATTATACAAATATATATTATAAGAGAAAAATTATATTTCTTGGACATATTTAAAAAGATTTTATGAAAAATTTCTAAAACATTTCATACTGCATGAATAATAATAATAATAATAATAATAATATAGTAATGAATAATAATATAATAATAATAATAATTTAATAAACAACAATGTAATTCCAGAATTACTGGATTATGCAAAACGTCTGGGAATTGATCCCGATGCGGAACCACATCTTCTGGACTTGGCTCGTGAGGGCCTTATGGCAGCTCTTCCTAAGGGCTGGTCTCCGTGCTTCCATGAAGCTAGTGGTGCCTGGTATTATTACCAGGCATCCACTGGCACTACCACCTGGGAACATCCTCTAGATGCAGTTTATAGAGGACTCGTAGAACAAACTAGAGCTGGCAACAAAAGGCAACTAAGCCTTGGTATTGGTCATATTGGTCATAAATACTTATATTCATTTTATAAATATTTACTTTAGTAAATCATATCTTTTTATATTTCTTTATCTTATATGCAATTTTGCACTTACGATTTTTCTTCTTTTAAATTGTAACGCATCTTGGATAAATTTCAAATTCAAACATAAGATTGGAAAGAAATATTTTTCTAAAACAAATTAAAAATCAGTTTGTACAAAATTACAATACAATTATATTAAAAATTCTGAAAAAAATATAATATAACTAAATATAATATTGAATTTTTTATATTACTTTAAATACGAAGCACCATATGGTACGAATCTGAATAAGATATTGAACTATTATATATATATTCATATAAATAAATTAATTTCAGAAATGATAATTGCGTGCCGATATGGTTGTCGGACTTTCGACGCAATCAATCTAAAATATTAATAATTCTCCCAAATTTCCCAAATTTAATCTTAAAAAACTATAATAAATTTATTGCGAAATATATTGCCTCGGCAGTAAAACTTCTTACAAGTTTTACAAGTCTTGCGATTCTGCTTAGAATTGACTCATTAATCGCGCATATATTACACTCTCATGTAATGCTTACCACCATTAACGCGCGTCGTCCAAATACTTCATAATAATCAGTAAAATCATACAACTTGGCAGTGCAATGTTTTGGCTTTGCGTCAAAATTATGAAAAGTACAACCGTATTTTTAGATTATTCTACAACGTATAAACGATGAATGTCGCGCTGCAACCGCTAACAAGAATTTAATGAATATATATTTATTATTTTTATAAAAAAATATGTACCTATATTTTGTATATTAAAAATCTTACATATATAATTAATACACATAAATTAATCTATATATAATTTGTATATTCTTTCAAAAGCATTCTAATTATACAACTTACTAAAGAGAAAAGGTTATTAGACACTTATATGTTGATTTTTACATCAATTACAATTACATAAAAATCAAAATTTATTTTAAAAACATGGAAAAAGATTAAATTATCAAGAAGAAAGAAAGTAAAATTATATTTATGTTGTTTATAATGATTGTTTAGTCTAATAATCACATTATAAAATGAAAGAAGATAACTCTAATATTTTTGTTCTTAAAATAATATTTCTATTAATATTTCTATTATTTATATCAGTTTTTTGGATTGATTGGTTCAATCAATTGACTGGAATCAATGAACGGATGCTATATGCAATTTATAATCGTAAATATTACATAAATGACTAATAACTTCAAGACCTTGATTATTATTAACTTCGAACGCTTAGAATCGCTCCTTACTTTTTGCAATAATCAGATTTTTATAATCAAACACTCCCATTACTGAGACATAATTTTTCAATTTCTACTTATAAAACTTCAGTTGAAAATTAATGCCTTCCGCACTCAGTTGAAGAAAACGAGTTACTCGGCATTTGTAATTTTAATCTTTGATATTCTTTGTTTACAATTGTAACAAAGATCAAAACAAGTAATTTTTTTTTATTTTATATATAAATAATTTGATTCTTTTACATTCCAGATATTTTATTCTGTAACAAAATAAAGAAACCGTATTTTTTTATATAAAATCTTGCATACTTTACAATTTCATTTATCTCTTACATTTATCAATCAGATATACATTTATGTTTACTCTACAAACATCAATTTTTATTTTAATATACATATTTATTAACATTAGCAATATATATTTAGTGAATAATCCTATTCTAAAAAACATTACAAAAATATAGTAATAAAGTAAAAACAGAAAAAATTATTTTTTAATATCGTAGAAGAAGATTCAAAGACTACGGCAAAAGATCTTGAATCTCACGAGGACGCAACTTTACCGAAAGAAACAATTATTCCAAAAGAAACTGTTTATGCGAAACCTAGCATGGCAGGTACTAAAATTCCTATGAAACTGGCACCTTTACGAAAAGCCGAAAAAATCGACAGTTCACGCAAGAGAGATCGTCCCTCTTCTTTCGATAGACTCCAATCGAGAAGGGAAAGTGATTCAAGATCCGACAATGTAATGTCCTTGTCAAGTGATCGGGCCGCAAGAGATTATACAAACTTGAAATTTCAAGATCCAAAATTTTATGAATGTCCTAAATTGCTCGAGATAAAGGATACGACTGCAACAACCACAACAATTGCAACACCTGCGAAAAAAGAACTTGATCTGAAAGAGGTACTGAAGAGATCTGAGTCACTGAGTCCCTGGCATGAGAAAGATTGGGAACAGCTTTCTAGCAAATTCAGTTCAGAAGAGAACATAATCGACATCGACAAACTCAGTGCTAATACATTAGCCAGACCAGAAAAACTCGAGAAATTCGACAAAGAAAAACATCCAAGTCAGTTGGGTCAACAAAAGGAGTTAACTCTTAGTGGTGGTGGTTCGATGTTTCTAAAAAGTAACAGGAGTAGAGATACCACACCTAGTCAAGATGGCGGCAAGTTAGAGGATTTCCGGACATTGACAATTTCTGACGAAACCAATAACATTGCTGGTGACAGACCCAAATCCATTCTGAGGGAAAAACAACTTGAAGATGGTAAAATTGTATATATGTATATTTAAATAATTTTTTACAATTTTTTTTATTTTTATCGTGTTCTTTAATAATTATAGTTAATTATACCAATCCAAAGTAGTAATAGGTACTTTACTTGAACATGTAGAAATTGTATATTTAAAAAAAAACAAAGCTACTTATATTTCATGATAAGTAAAAGCAAAAAGTAATAATTTGAACATATAAAATAAAAAACTCAAGTATCTTTTTTACTCTTTCGATTAGCATTAATACAATTTCATCACGGTAATCTGACTTTTATTCAATTGTGGATAGACGATCGACCATTGGATGAAGAACGCAAAAGCGTGCGCTTTGATTTGGAAAAAGAGTTCAACATCAATTTCACATATTCCGAATCCGAAGATGATTGGGATTCCGAATCTGAAGATAAGAATCAACGGATATCGGCTGTAATTAGCAATAAAATTACTGGTTCCATTTTATCCCCGTGGAAATCAACATCGCAAAATTTCGAAGACATCAATGATGACAAAAACGATTATTCTAATGAAAAAGAGCAGGATAAAATAGATTTAGAGATCAACAATCAACACTTGTCTGCAGAGAAAATCGAATCCATATCAAAAAATCCGAAAATAGTTGGCAAAAGATTCCTCGTGCAAAATGTTTCGGAAAATGAACATCGAAGTCAAATGACAAAGAATGTTTTAGAAAATGATAATAGTTTTGATTATCTACCTAATAAATTAGGTGAAAAAGTGAAAATTATCGATATAGTGTCAAAAAGTGAAACAGATTGTAGCACCGCGAAAAGTAGTGATTCCGATGAAATCAAAACAAAATTGATTATTGAAAAAGCAAGATATACAACAAATCTCTTATCGAATCGACAACTTGAAGATGATGAGTCATCTGATATATCAAGGTTCAATCATTACGCACAGAAGGAGCGATTTGTGCGACCTAAGTTAGAATATTCTCAAAGTATTAACGATATGAAAATAAAAATGAATAGAGTACACGAAGAAGAAATTGAAGATTTTAGGATTGAACTCGATATTAAATTGCAGGAAAAGAAAAAAGAACTTGAGGAAAATTTTGTGCAACAAAAGATTTTAATACAACAATTTTTGGATCAAAGATTAGAAGAAATGAAACAGGAAATGGCACAAAAGGTATTCCTTTTTTATTAGATTATGTCAGAAGTGTGATGTAAATTGTGAAGCTTATTTAAAAAAAAAAAGATATAATACAGATGTATTTGTTATTATTTTAAGATCAATATTTTTTTCATTTTTATTTCGTTATGAATATTTATTTTTCATAGAAAAAAAAACACAACTGATGATAAAATTATATGCTAAATACTATTTCAAAGTTCTAAAACAATTTCATAAATATATTTTATAAAATATCTAAAAATATTCTGTTAGTTTTAAGTGAAATTTTATTTAAGAATACAATTTTTTTAGGAAGAACAGGAGATACAAATATTGATTACTGAAATGGATCAAGCTAGAATGGAAAATTTGAAGAAAGTCCGCACGGAACTAGAGGTCTGTTACGAAAAAGAGAGACAAGAAATATTGACCAATCTAAAAACAGAACTCGACGAGAGGAAAAGAGAACTTCTGGAATTGAGGAGTCAAGAGATGGGTAAGCTAGAAAATGAGCACGAACGTGACCTTAGTGAAGAAAAACTTGCAAAGCTAAACGAATATGAGATGAGAAAGCAACATAACGAAAGAATTGAAACTTTAAAGAAGGAATTGGAAAAGGAATTTGAAGACTTAAGAAATGAATTGAGAATGCAACAACGAGAAAAAATTACTAAATTTACCGAAGATCATGAGCAATGTCTAGCCGAAATTCTTCGCGACTTTAGAATGGATGTAAGTATTTAATACCTATATATAGCCGTATACATTAAATAATTAATCCATTAATGATCAATATTCGTCCATTTTCTAGAATACAAAATTTATTATTATAAAGGTTTTAATAAATAATTTTTTTTAATATCTTATTCATTAATTTCATATAACTGTTCACAAATAGGTGTAGTAAAAAGAAATCCATTATTTTTGCATGAAATTGAATGGAAAAATAATGGATTTCTTTTTAGTACACCTAATATATCTTATAATAGTATAAAAAAAGTAATTAAACATATATATATATATATATACACGTACAATTAATTTCTTAAATTATGATAAGAATTATTATAAGAATTATTATAAATATTTATATATCTTATATGAGTTTACTGTATATAATTATTAAAATATCGTTTTTATTACGCACACACCCACTCCCCTCTCACACACACACACACACACGCACGCACGCACGCACGCAGGCATGCACACACATTGCAAAAAGATTTACATTCTTCAAAATATTTTGATTATTTATATTTAAAAAAATACCTGATTAATCCACAATAATTTTAGGAAGCTCTTGCCCGTAAGATGTATAAAGAGCGACTGGAGGAAATCCGTGCGGATTTTGCAAGAGATGCCGAAAAGGAGGCGAGAAAACAGACCGAGCGGGCTCTTCAACAAGAAAGCATCGATTTTGAAAAAATGCGTTGCGAAAAACGATTGCTACAGGACAAATATACGGCGCTTAAAGAGAAATATATGAAGTTGAAAAATGATGTTCGCCTTGCAGTCGAAAGAAGAAGCAGAAGAAAGGAAGGATATACTACGGCCTCAGAAACCGAAAGATCGACATCTACTAGAACAAGAACGGATAAGACTGATTCGTCGGAACAAAAGTGAGTTTTTTCAAAAACGGAATGTTGAGATTTCATTATTTAAAATATATTAAACATTTCATGTTGAAATAAACTAGTGATATGATAGAAAAGAAGTTTAGCACAAAGAGTTTAAAGATTACCTTAAAGAGTTTAAAGATTTTCTTCTCATATAGTCTCTCTTTATATAGTTCTCTTCTTCTTTATATAGTTTTCTTTATTATTATTGACTGAACGACTTGATAAATAAAAAGAACTGGAATAATGACATCTATTTCGTAATCTTTCAAATAATAACTGCACGTTTTAAACAAATAAATAAAATTAAATAAAAATTATTTTTTATTTTAACTGGTTTATTTCAGCAAATACATTGATATGTAATATTATTTATTATTAACAACATATAATAATCAGTCTCTACAATTATTAATATAAGCACGTTCAACGTATAGCACATGCATGCCATTTGTTATATCTCATCAATATTTTCAGTCATTTATGTAATTATTTGATGTTTGTATAATAATATGTTTATAATGTTATAATGTTTGTACAATATTAGCGACACTTTTTAAAAACTTTCTTCTCACTCTTCATACGGTTTTCTCTTTTATGTTAATATCTAAAAAAATAGATTATCACTGCCGAATTATTCAGGAGATAAGAATCTCTTTATTTCTCGCAATCTCTTTATTTCTTTTAATAAAACCATATGGTTTTTATCATAAATCTATTGAGGATAATTGATTTGTTAAAAAAAATATTTTTTAATCTTTTTTCACCAGTTCTTTCTATCTATGTCAAAACACAATGTTGCACGTTCATTTTTTTAATACGTCCATTATAGTACTTTCGCAGTCTATATCGTCAGTCTTTATTCGAACAATGCGCAGCGTATATCCTTGTTAAGAACGATCGGACTGTGAAGGTACTTCGTCATGTTCATACAATTCGCCCTAATGTCTGGCTATAGGCCTTAAATCGTGCTCGCAGTACTCCGCTGAAGGACGCGCGCTCGAGTCCAGTAACAAATGCGAAATCGCAGGACAGCCAAAACGCGAACCAACAAGTCGAAGAGAAAAATGATCCAGAAAATTTGAAGAGTCAGAAAGCGGTCGCGGGATTTCAGAAACATCCATTCACCGCTGCTGGCTTGAAAAGTGCAACAAAGTTTGAGTCCGACGATACTACCACCGCCAGTGAAACAAACACTAACATGATTACGAAGAAAAAGAAGAGTTTCAGTAAAAAAGTTACTTCAAGTGCAGGTCGCTCGAGCAGTAGTAATAACAATATGGAGAATCCAGTAGAGAATATTAGAAAACAGCTGAAAAAACTGGAAGATCTCGGTGACCAATTACCGAGCAACGAAACGGCCTATACAGTGCGATATCCTTTCCAAGATAAAGGTGATTGTTTTAAATTTATCTTGCGCGTTGTATATTACTCAAAAGATACATGTATCTTTTTTTAAAAGAATATATATTTTCCTTTGAAATTTATAAAAATTTGATTTATATGTAAAATAAATCAGGTCAAGCCAATTTGATAAACAAATTGTTATTTGTACCGTTTAAAGAGCGGTAACTCCAAAAAATAAAATTGTATTTTTTATGGGCAAAGCGTGCGAATTCTTTTCTATCTCTTTAATTTCTTATATGAATATAAAAAGTTCAAACAATAAGAATATGTTAATGCACAGATATAAAAAAAAAATTGGTCAATTTATAAAAAAAATTAACGATTTTATCACAGATAAGATTTTATACTTTTTTAAAGAATATAGCTTTTATGTAATCTGAACGTTATGTTTTAGGATGTGCTATATATGTAATAAATAACAGAGAAAGAGAGAGAGAGAGAGAGAGAGAGAGAGAGAGAGAGAGAGAGAGAGAGATCTTGAATTGTAGAAAATTATAACTTTTTCAAATTACAAACAATTTCAAAAAGATTTTGTATATAATCAATAAGACATTAAATATATTTATGTGTATTTGATAATTGTAAATGAGCATATTTTTGTATATATGTATGTATTTTGAATTACCTTTATTGTAGTATGTATTATGTTTTTGATCACTTTTTCTATTTCTGTATTAAGATATATATCACTAAATAATTTACGCAAAATGATATAGATATACAATTTAATTAATAGATATTACAATTATTATTATCTCCAATTTATTACATATTTTTATTTACATGTTATCTATTAAATATTTTATCGTTTGGTATATTATTAATATTATTAATTATAACTTAATTCTGCAAATGTGTAAATAACTCGATCAACATCATTTTCTTAAACTGAATAGTTATGTAACGTTATTTAATACTTGTAATTGTTAAGATATTATTTCTATCGATATAGCATAATTATAGTTAAGTTTTATTATTTCTTCCTTTTCATAGGATTATATACTTTACTTTGGTTAATGGCATATATTCTTCTGGCCCGTAAGTGCACCATCAGTTTTTCTTTTACTTTTGCACACTGTTTATATAAGTTCATTTTACCGTCATCTTCATTTTAGTGTCAAACTTTAAACATTTAGGATTTAGAACTTAAATTTAAATATGATCTCTTTTGCTTTAAATTAAAAACAACAGTACCTACTTTCTTTTACAGCGCCGGTGAATGCCTCTTCGGAGCTAGAATTCTTCCGTCACCGGATGCATGTGGAGAAGGATTCGGTGAGGAGAGCTTGCGAGGCGCTGAGACAACAAAAAAGTGCCTTTCAGGGTAGGCAAAGAGCTTGGAAACAACGGAGCGGAAGAGCCACTCTGGAACAACTAGTGCAGGTATCTCACTATTATCGATTACAAAAATAATTAATAGAGATAATTTATAGAGATGTACTTAAAATTAGTAGATATACCTTTAAATTTTGAATATATTTTAATAAATTCTCTTAAGGATGTATTAGATGTTCCTGCAAAGAAAATTAAATGTGGAAGTATGTTTAATATTTACATTTCAAATAAACTATATAT